TCTGGATTTTGGAATTTAATTCTCCTCTCTGATATCCTGCAGAATTTCTGATCTTTAAAAGTTGTAATGCATATAAAAATGAACAGAATATTTCTCAGGTTAACTAATGTGCTTCTCTAGTCAGATCTTTTTTGGCTCTCTGGGGCTTAAAATTATAAGAATGAAGATTGTGATGAATTCTTCTGGAAAATGCCCATATATGAAACAATGCTAGAGAGGCCCGTTTGTGTGCAACTGCAAGTTATCATTACCAGTACGTTTTCAGAATGCATGAAGCTAAAAAAGAAAGAGAGAGTAGAAAGTATTGTTTTGTGTGAAGTTAACTTTGAATTAGATACGATGTAAATCTCGTTCAGTCCTGCATGTTCCAAATTCTTTAGAAATAAAAGTTTCCATAACCAATAATAGGAAGCACCATCTGGAAACAGATATTCCTTTCTAAAAGTAGAGGGATAGAAAATAGGATTGTGTTGTAGACCTAGGGCCTTGTAAACTCACGATTTCAATGCATCTGCCCAGTGCTTAACTCATGGAGTTTAACAAATGTTAATCTGCATTTTATGGTACGGGCCAGAGTGACACAAAAACATGTACGTAATGCCACACACACATCATTATTTTGTATTTTGCATTTAATTTGTTTACACAGGGGGCTCTTGCAGATCATTTGATGTGGGGTTTACCTAGCTACAACTTCCCACGGAGAGGAATAATCATTTGCATGCAGAAGCCAGGGGACCGGCGGCATTGTTGGCTGTATGCGGTGGAGATGGTAAATACCACGGTCTGGGCTCTCTATCGGTGTGCTCATCTCCTGTGAGCCACGGGCCTCGCTGGCAGTGGCAGGCGCCCACCGAGTGCATGTGCGCAGCGGTCTGGGTCGCTGGCCACAGGCCTCCTCCGCCGCGTGCGGCGAGGGTGTCTCGGGGCTGCTTTTCGCGCCACAAGCCCGCTGCGATCGTGGACGCCCCTCCGGGGCCGCGGCGCGGGCAAAGCCTCAGCTCTTGCCCTGCGCCTCAGTGCCCGCATGGCCCCGGGCCGGCTGTGCAGCGTGCGGGGGCCGCATGCCCATGGCCCCGCGGAGAAAAAGACCGAAGTGCTTCCGCAGCAGCAGCAAGTAGTCCCCTTCAGCAGG